TAAAGCTCTATTCAAGACAATTGTCACGTGCGAGTGGTTCCACAACTCGTCGGTAATCCTATTCTTCAACAAATATGACTTATTTGAGGAGAAGATCTGTTCGGCCACTCATTTGGTGGACTTCTTCGGCGAATACGAGGGCCCGAAACGGGACGTCATATCCGGGCGTCAGTTCGTTATGAATATGTTTTTTGATTTGATTCCCGACTCATGTCTTAAACGTATAATTTATTCGCACTTAACGTGCGCTACGAATACGGAGAACATTAGACTCGTCTTTAATGCTGTCAAAGACACCATCTTTGAGCTCCTCCTCAGAAAAGAGATACAAATATTTTAATCTTAATGTAAAACTAAATGTGTTATTAATATTATAACTTATAACTAATGATTAGATATATTAATATTTCAGATAATTTAGTGCTAAAACTTTGATTAAAACTTTTAAAGTTTGAAAACTTTTTTGTTTTACAACAACTGAACGTAATTTGTTTTGAGAGCAGTGTTTGTGTCGCGGATTTGATGGCAAAACATGTGTTTATTTTTGTGTTTCATTTAAATATGAATTTCTATTTAAATTGTGTTTAAATTACGGATTAAATAATTGTCACCAAAAATGAGTGAAAATATATTTCAATCAAAATATTTGCGAAAAAGCATTCATTTAAACAAAAGCCAATCAAATGAAGGTTTGTTTGAATTGTTTTCAAAATCTAAACATTTGTTTTTCAACTCAATTGTCAATTATATCTTCAGATGATATCTTCGATGAATCCGAAAGCGATTCCGACTCTGAGGTCGACACCAAAGATAAGGTCAACTTTATTGTGGACTCAAAACCAAAAGACAATAACCGAAAGAAAGGCTTACGTATGGATAAGATATCAGTTTTGGGATCAACTCTGGAGTTTGAACCAAAAGCGAAACCATATCTAAGCAAAGATCTAACTTTATTGTGGACTCAAAACCAAAAGACAATAACCGAAAGAAAGGCTTACGTATGGATAAGATATCAGTTTTGGGATCAACTCTGGAGTTTGAACCAAAAGCCAAACCATATCTAAGCAAAGATCAAACGCCCGAAGAATCGTTCAAATTGTTGAATGAGATGTCGATGAAGGCAATGGAGGACGAGTTGAGCCGCAAGTGTGTCATTAAACCGGGTTTTGAGCAAAACTATACGATTAAAGCCTTTCGGATGAGTAAACGCCAGAAGAAGAAGATTAATAGGGAAGAGATGTCAAAGACTTTGGGGAAGAAGTGGTTTGATATGAGAGTGACTGATATGACTGAAGAGAAGAGAAATGATTTGTTGGCATTAAATATGAGGAAAGGTTGGGATCCGAAGCGCTTCTACAAGAAGAACGATCGCAAAGAATTGCCCAAATTCTTCCAAATGGGAACTATTATCGAATCCAAAGCAGATTATTATCACTCAAGAGTTCCCAAAAAGGATAGGAAGCGGACACTTGTCGAGGAGCTGTTGGCCGACGCGGACTTCAAGAAGTTTAATAAACGCAAGTATTCCGAAGCGTTGGCTAAGAATCCATATTATCTTCGGATGAAACGCAAGAAAGAGAGACAAGAGATGAAGAAAAAGGGATTAAATTTCAAACAACAGAGGAATCAGAAGAAAACCAAACGAAAGACCGAAAGAAAACAACGTTCTGTGGAATAGGTTTCGAAAAATTTATTTTTAGTGTGATTTACATGTAATGCAAACAAAATGCAAATAAATATTCATTTTTGAAAAATATTGAAAACAATAATTGCTATCAAATAGCTATACGTTATAAACATTGCATATTCGGAGTATTTGTCATTTATTTACAAGTAGTTAAGGCATCGGCACAGAGGGTGAGGGGCAGAGAGACCAGCATAAGTAGACTAACCATCTCTAGGTATTAACAAAACAATTTGAGACTAAAATCAAATTGAAAAATGTTTCACAATTATTAAAATTGTTAACTAAATGACTCATGAGTTTAATTTGTCTTCACTATCGCCCCAATTGGTGATATCGGTGTTATCGTTGGCCAAAGAGCTCACACTTTGATCCCGGAGTTTGGAGTTCTTATTCTTAAGTTTGGCGAACCTTTCAAAGAGTAATTGTTTCGCGAATTCATATAACTTTATGTCCAAACTATTGATTCGTTTGATTTTGTCGATCGTCTTAGCGCTGAACTCATCCAAAAGCGATCGCCGGTAGCGGTGGAGGCCGTGAGTGTCGGCGTCCAGAAAGACGAGATCAAAGGTCTCTTCGAAGAGGTGTTGCGATATTCGGGGGAATTCGTTGAGACCAAAGAATGCCATTTTATGCAAATTGTTTTCAGCGCTTCTCAACTGAACGATATGTCGCTCTTCTGATGGCATATACGACCGGTTATAACAGCCAACCAGTGCTGAATCCGAGAGCATTCTTGTCTGCCTATTGATCGCTAAGTTGTCCTCGCAGTCCATGAACTCATCGATGGTAACGTCGGCCCTGAAGTCGCATTCAGGCATTTGCATCACTTCCCGACCGCCACACCAATGGCGCGATGCCTTACCGTTCGCTTCTTGGCCTCTGAAGTGATTGTATTCACTGATGAATCGTGTGATCGGATCTCTTAATAGCGTTATATAAAAGTAACGCCTTTTGACGGAATCGCCTTCGAGTTCGTCGAGCACTCGATCGCAGCAATGGATCAATTCATTGAAGTCCGGATGGATTCCGCATTTGGTTCCGACCGTAAGGCGACTGAAGAGCCACTGACTGTTGTGACGGTTGGGTCGCAAACACTGACACCGTTTGCGGCGATTGGACTCACAATTGCACGGATTGTCGACAATCAAGTCATTGATGATATGGTTTAGGAATACGTTTCCGCCGGTGTTGTGGATCTGGAGGAATACCATCACATCGTCGGCAGTCATGTCAAACATATCGGATCTGGAGATGACTTCATTCGGGACGTCGTCTGAATTGTCATCCCTTTCGGTGTTCCAGAGCTTCGGATTCACAAAGTATTGCGATTTGTATCTCACGAGTGGTCCGTATCTGTGGAGGAATGGCTGATGAGTGGTGTGTTTGATGTCATAATAGTTACACAAATAGATCACAAATGAGATGACAATCAGTGAAAGCAATAGAAACACATAAAAAGTGAGATTTTTATTATGCAATGAATGGACAACTGGTCTGTCATTTGAAGCGATGATTAACTCATATTTATGTCTCATTTTTCACACATTGTTTGTGCCGTTTGTCTCGCATTGCAATCGACACTCAATTTAATGATCAAATCATTTGTTTATTGTATTTACGATAACATAATCTCATAAACCATTCATTCAATCGCTAATCAATTTATTTACAATTTTTATGACAATATTTTCATTCAAAGCATACGTTTAGCAGAGAGTGAAAGGGTTTGCAAAACAATTTATATAATAATGCATTCATTCATTGAAACCCCGAATATATAGACGACGTTATTATTGGACACAAAGCCTATGAAACAAAAATCAATATATTTGTCAACAATTAACGTCAAGTTATGAATTACACTAAATGTATGGCTTTAACTAACAGTCCAATTGACAACACATTTCAGGCCTTTTTAATACAAACATTTGCTAAACAATGCATTGCTTTCAACACTAAATGAGTCCAAAATGCTATGCAATGAGTTATGCCGTGCTTTCAATCGCGAATTAGTCGGACGTAATTGAGTGCCACATAAATGTACGGCATTTGTGGGCATTGGCTGTGAGTGTGTGTGAAGTGAGGATTGATTTGATCACAAGTTTGTGTTTTGTGTGCATTTAGTCTGAAGTGTGTCTCAAGTGATCGTCAATTGAATCCCAATCTGTGGCACAAATAGTGTCTCATTTGGTAGTGATTTGAGTGACAACTCGTTTATCACAACAACTATTGATTGAATACAAGCCGTGACTCGAGTGACAGTCGTATAGTGGGATCCGATTGAGTGATTTGGGAGTCAATGGATGACGACTTGGATGACTACGAGTTGTTTTGGTCGACAATTGTCTCACACTTCCAGCTGTTGTCCAAATCGGTGGTGAATCTGTTTGAAATCAATTTGATGACAATCCGCGAGGGGTTCCAGCAATTGGTGTCTTTGGCGATGAGACCGCAGACATTGGCCGCGCTGTCACTCATACTGCTATTGGCGCTCATTTGCCACACTTGCGAGTATTGGATCAAATCAGTGATCAGAACGACAATCAATTGGACCAAACGAGTCAACATTGGACTCACACTCGTGTCCACCGCTTTGACCGCATTGTTGCCGAGCGTTGAATGCATTACTCGTATCGCAGACAATGTCATCGAAGAATACAAAGACAATTGTGTCGGCGTTTATGCACTTCAGGGACGGCGACCCAAAATGGAGGACAAGTTTACGTACGTTAACGACAGTCAACGCCTCGGCATCGAGTACTGGGCTGTCTTTGACGGACACGGAGGAGATGTGAGTCTATTATGCAGTTTCTCTTATCTTAACTTAAGATTAAAAACACATTATATGTGTTATATCTGTATGTCTTGTGGTATGAAATCTTGGGATCAGATGAGTTTAAAGTGCATTAGTCGTAACAAAAGTGCTGCACTTGTCATACATATGGTATGTCATGCCAGTCATCATCACTTCCCATTTGAACCACAAAAGGATCAGATTATCACATATTTGTTTGCCGCGAGTCTCTACTATCACTCTATATTGAGTTACAGCTCATATAGACTTTGACACAACTTTTCCATTCATTTCCCATTGAATATGTTTCCATCAATTGTTTGATTGGTTTAAACATAATTATGTCAATTGTTTTATATATTAAATATTTTATTAATTCACCAAAAGTGATGTCATATACAAAATAAGCGTTAAATTATGTGTCAACATAATTTGCATTTAAATAGCTGTACCTTAACATAGCATTGAGACGTGTATTTATTTTACATTTAAAGTCAATAGATTTCGTGTTTTTTGTCAGATTTTTTGTCCATAAGTTAAATGACAAACACATAAGTATTTATAACTTTTATAAAAACAATAAAACCGGTATTTTATGGTTTATTAGAAACGATTAGTTACTAATAAAGTGTGAAATTGTTGTCCCAAACAGAGCGCCGCTATCTTTGTTGAGTCCAAGTTATATAAAGCTATCCATAGGAGAGTGGAAGCGCTCATCAGTAAAGACAGTGTTGTTCACAATCACTGCGAGAAGAAGAGTTCAGAAGAAGATTGTGGTGTCAGTGATGTCTCGAACGGTGGTCTAAACAGCGATAAGGAATGTTTAGCCAATTCAAAGTTGTACACCAATGAGTCCACAACCGAGTCGTTGACTGTGGCCTCGCTCTCCAAGATTGTCACCGAAGAAGTGCTTGAAATTGATAGACAATTGATTATTGATTGTAAAGAGAGGGGAGACGTGTCGGGCAGTACGGCACTGATTGCGCTCAGAATTGTGGCTCAAAATAAGCTGATTGTAGCGAATGTCGGCGACTCGAGAGGTGTGATCTGCGACTCAAAGGGATCGGCGATTCCGCTGTCTTTTGATCATAAGCCCCAACAGGTATGCAATCAATTAATTCTGTTTAACTCTGTTTATTGATTGTATTAATTGATTGTTGAATAATGTGTTAACCAATGTATAGATAAAAGAGCACAAACGCATCAAAGAAGCCGGAGGTTTCATCAAATTCAATGGCGTGTGGAGAGTGGCCGGCATTTTGGCCACATCTCGAGCGATGGGTGACTACCCATTGAAGGACACGAATCTGGTGATCGCCGAACCGGATATTCTGACCTTCGATCTGAACGATATTGAGCCGAAGTTCATGATTCTGGCGAGTGATGGCCTCTGGGATGCCTTCACTAACGAGGATGCAGTCACTTATGCCAAAGAGTGTCTCCTAAGAGTCAAACAAAGCAATACAAGCGTTCATACGGCCCACGAAGTGGCCAAAAGTCTAGTTCTCGAGTCATACAGACGCGGATCCGTTGACAACATAACCGTCATTTTGGTTATATTTGACTCCAATGTCGACGACATATCGATTTCCTAATTATTTATAAAAACCGTCCAAAAAAGTCAATTAAAAGTCAAATCCGAACTTTTCTATGAATTATTTCATTTCATTGTCTTTAGTCTTAATTTATTATTAATTTCATTATTATTATTATTATTTGGAGTTTATATGCATTCGTTTTGTCAGACACTTCGTTAACTTTTATGTTTTCTCAACATTTTCTTTGTTTAAATGTTTTGTTGTTTAGTTTATATGAATTTATTATAAATTTGAGAAACAATTTTGAGATTAAATCAGCGAAAAATTGATGTTTATTTCAAACGAAAGTTAAAAATATAACAAAATATTGAAAACAAATAAACAAAACCTATAAACGAGTGATTTATTAACTTTTTTGTTATTTATAGCTAAGAAGTTGTGCACCTTTTGGCACATTATCTCCCGCTTTATACAATAGTTTGTCGACCACTGCGTCTGTGTTGGCTTTGATGACGTACTCCATCTTCATTGCGGTCATAACCACCAGATTATCACCACTTTTCACACTTTGATTCTCAGACACAAGTATTTTGTCGATCACTCCCGGCATTGGCGCGCATACTGTGCGCGAATCGGTCACCGAATCCACAGATTGTGTCTTCAAATAGTCGGGAACTTTTGTCTCGAAACTATGGGAACCATCTCTTGTGAAAATGGAGACCATATTATCGGTGATGAGAACTCTTTGTTTGGTTCGAATGCCATTCATTTCTACACTCAATTCGTTATCTTTTGGTTCATATTCTGCGCTAATATTACTGAAGACATCGTTTCCCACTTTGATATTAAACGTTTGATTGGCATTGAAATCAACTTTAATTTCATGAGATTTATTGTTGGAATCGATTAATTCAAAGAACCGAAAGACTGGCACTTCATGAAGACGTTTGTCATCACAGATATTGAACGGAGAGAACGGTTCCGATGAGACATTGTTTCTGTTGGTTTGACTGAGTTTCTCATTGAGTATTAGAGCGATAACTCCGGAGCACATGATGTCCGGTGAGGTATCAGTGGTTGGGAACAGCTCTTTGTGATGGTCTTCAATGAAGTTCGTGTAAACGTTTCCGCTTTGAAATTCTGAATGATTTGAAAGCCTTAACAAAAAGTCAACATTTGTTTTGAGGCCAACGATATTGTATTGCGTTAACGATTGTCGCAATTTTCTTAATGCCGTCTCTCTATTGTGTCCCCAAACCACCAGTTTTGCAATCATCGGGTCGTAATGGACGGACACCTCATCGCCAGACCTAACACCGGTCTCTATCCGCACATCAGACGTGGGAACTGGTGTTTCCAGACGCACAAGAGGTCCGGCGCCGGGCATGAAGTTATTTTCGGGGTCTTCAGCGTAAATGCGCGCTTCAAACGAGTGTCCGTTGAGTTTCAACTCTTCCTGTTTTAGTGGCAACTCGTGTCCGGCGGCGACCCTCAGCTGCCACTCGACTAAATCGGTTCCCGAAATCATTTCAGTGACCGGATGTTCCACTTGTAAGCGAGTATTCATTTCCATAAAATAAAACTTTGAATCTTTGGGATCGTATATGAACTCAACAGTTCCGGCGCCCAAATAGTTGACAGCCTTCGCCGCCCTGACGGCAGCCGTTCCCAACTCACGTCTGATCTCTTCTGTGATATGCGGTGCCGGCGCTTCTTCGATGATCTTCTGATGTCTCCGTTGGACAGAACAGTCTCTCTCGAAGAGGTAAACATAATTTCCCAGCGAATCGCCAAACACTTGAACCTCGATGTGTCGCGGATTGGACACAAACTTTTCGATGAGCATTGATTGGTCGCCAAATGATTTCATTGCCTCTCTTCGGGCCGACTCTAAGTCTTGTATGAAATCGTTTTGATTCAAAGAGATTCGCATACCTTTGCCGCCGCCACCCCTCACAGCCTTTATCATAACAGGAAACCCTATTTTTATAGCTTCTTCTAACAGATACTTGTCTTCTTGTATATCTCCGTGATATCCGGGAACCACTGGAACGCCTGCAGCAGACATAATGGTTTTTGATGTCGACTTAATGCCCATATCTCTGATGGCATCGGCTTTTGGTCCGATAAATATGATGTCATTTTTGGCACACATTTCGGCGAACTCTACATTTTCGGACAGAAAGCCATATCCGGGATGTATTGCACAGGCATTGGATGCGATCGCGACGTCTATTATCTTCTGTTTGTCTAAATAGCTCTGAGAGGAAGGCGAGGATCCGATGTGATAGCTGTGGTCAGCCATTCGGGTGTGCATTGCGTTCGCGTCCGCATCCGAATAGACGGCAATCGTCTGAAGACCCAATCGTTTCGCACTCTTCATCACTCTTATGGCAATCTCTCCGCGATTTGCGATCAAAACCCGATTCAATGGACGCGTTTTGGCTGATTCTTTGCCGGCCGTCGACGACATCCTCGACACCCATCTCTTCGACAAATTTAATTTGAGTCCTAATTGTCTACAAATTGTCAAAAATATATTTCAAATATAAATTAATTCATTAGAAATCAAAGTTTGATTTACTTTGAAATGATATTCAATTCACGATATTTTCCATAAAATGCACTCATTTTGGATCAAAATCAAAATTTTCAAATATTATTAAAACTATTCATTAATTATTATCAATTCATTCAAATTAATTATGAAATTAATTAAATTTACAAATACTATAACCGAAGGAATAAAACAATAGTTTTAAATGATGTTTTGATTGAATACTTTTGCAATGGATATGTATTTCGTAATCGCAAACAAAACTTTAAAAGTTTGAATGAAAACCTAAAACCTGTTATCGCGTCGAGTGTTGGGAAAGACCTTCACTTCAACTTTAAGCCAATACTCGCACTTCAGTTGATATCCAATGAGACAATTGTTGTATATTTTCAATTTAATGTCAATCATTGTTATATTTATGATTACAAATGCACACATTTAATTTGGCATTTTACACTTTAATATATTTAAATATAAGCATACATACATTAATAACATTAAATTAAAATGAATAAAAAATTTAGGAACTGGAATTCAATATTGAAATAAAATCATTAATATTTTTGTATTATATTCGTCCGATTCCTTCGAGTCTTTTTATCCATCGTTAGGATTGGCTCTAATATGAGATCAAATATGAGAAAATCAATAGTTTATTATATATTAATTGGTGTATACTTTAGTAAATTAATGTCTGAATCCCTGGTCATTCTGAAGATATGACAGTAATACTTATTTACCGGACTTGCCATCGCATTCATATATTCATGATATGTAATAATAATTGTGTCCAAATCCATAATTAATTCATAGTCTGAGTGCTATTCAATGAATTAGATTTTAACATATGGTAACAATTTCTTTGTTTGATTAATCAAAAAATATAACATCAAATACTTCATTGAGTGTAAGTCCTAACGAAATCTCATGTAATATCTCTCCAGTATTGTTATCGCAAATAGTGATCATTCCGTTATTCTTCTGGTTACCCAATTGAGTATTGGTTTCCAAAATTGAATACATATCCAATTCATTCTCAAAATGTGTGGCTAAAATTTTGCGCTAATTTAAAGCAATATATACAGTATACTTTAAAGGCTTTACAATACTTTTGTAAATATTAAAATTAATAGTTTATCGCAATATCTTTATATTAAATTTCAAAAAAAATATAAAAACCCAAGATTTTTCGGCGTAACAAATATTTTTCTTTGCTTCGCGTCGAGCGTTAACTCTTCTTGTGATTTCGGTGCCATTATTTACCCCATTCTTGTCATTAAACCTAACTTTCATTTCAAACTGTTGTCGTATAGAAAATGGATTCTTTTCGCCAAAGATTTGATAAAATTTAATATAATTTCCCGATTCGTAGACCAGTCTTCCCGTGTCGTCCGTATGGAAACTCAATGTATCGGCAAATGTTGTATTGTTTCGGACAACAAAGCGACCGTTTTCTGCCAATTCATTGGTCGCAACGTTTCGCACTTCAAATACTCCGGAACTGTTGGAAGGGTTGGTCACGTAATGCCATCTCTCCTATGGATAGCTTTATATAACTTGGACTCAACAAAGATAGCGGCGCTCTGTTTGGGACAACAATTTCACACTTTATTAGTAACTAATCGTTTCTAATAAACCATAAAATACCGGTTTTATTGCTTTTATAAAAGTTATAAATACTTATGTGTTTGTCATTTAACTTATGGACAAAAAATCTGACAAAAACACGAAACCTATTGACTTTTAATGTAAAATAAATACACGTCTCAATGCTATGTTGAGGTATAGCTATTTAAATGCAAATTATGTTAACACATAATTTAACGCTTATTTTGTATATGACATCACTTTTAGTGAATTAATAAAATATTTAATATATAAAACAATTGACATAATTATGTTTAAACCAATCAAACAATTGATGGAAACATATTCAATGGGAAATGAATGGAAAAGTTAAGTCAAAGTCTATGTGAGCTGTAACTCAATATAGAGTGATAGTAGAGACTCGCGGCAAACAAATAAGTGATAATCTGATCCTTTTGTGGTTCAAATGGGAAGTGATGATGACTGACATGACATACCATATGTATGACAAGTGCAACACTTTTGTTACGACTAATGCACTTTAAACTCATCTGATCCCACATTTTATACCACAAGACATACACATATAATGTGTTAATAATCTAACGTTAAGATAAGAGAAAATGCAAACTAGACTCACATCTCCTCCGTGTCCGTCAAAGACAGCCCAGTACTCGATGCCGAGGCGTTGACTGTCGTTAACGTACGTAAACTTGTCCTCCATTTTGGGTCGCCGTCCCTGAAGTGCATAAACGCCG